CCAGGGAGAGCCGGTGAGCAGGGCTGGGTCGGGAGGCCGCTCGCATCCGGGCTTGCAGGGCTGCGGGGGAGCCTCGCAGGCCAGACCGGGTCTGCCGGTGTCCCGGCGTGGCACAAGGCGCGTTCTGGCAGGATCTGGCCCCAGGCACTCGAGTGGCAGCGGCCTGGAAGGTTGCTGACACGCGGACCCTTAGGCGTTCAGACTCCTCTGAGACACGGGTGGAGAATAGGCTGTCTGGTAGTCATCACCCTTTCTGTTTGCCATCCTCACCTCCAAACACTCGAGCCACACTCGCGCACCTTGGGAGGCCTCACTTTCCTATCCCGGAGCGATATGGACTTGCTGGCTGGAGAGACTGAGGCCAGGGGTCTCTAGGATTTGATCACATTATTTGCCTAGGTATAGGAGAAGTAGCTAACCAGGTAGGTTACGTTAACTTTGTGTTGCCGGAAGTTTCATAAGAAATCCTAGACTGGGTTTTTAAAAAGCCTTTTATTATTGTCCCGAAATTAGGAAGCCAAGCCAAAAAACTGTCTTCTCCTGTAGAGACTATCTACAGGTTTTACATAATGTATCTATAAATTTGGGCAGCATCCTCTCTTCTCAAGGACCCCAAAATGTCCTGAGGTCCCTGGGCCAGCCAAAAACCAGTTACTTTTCGCCTGTAAATCTGGGAACCCAGTACACCACTTTTCTTGGGAGGATTTTATTAGTATTGGCTCCATAAAATGAACTTCAGTGCCTTTAAAGGAGCACGTTATATCCAATTAAATGGGTATCCTTGTGAAATACAACATTCCAGGCAAGGCCTTGGTTTCATAACCACTTTTTCTAATTATGCCCTAGTGGGGGGGGGGGACAGGTTTTTATCGAAATTTTGCAAATAGCCATATTGTCATGAAAAGCAAGAAGATTTAATAAGAGTTTTAAATTAACTCTACTAAATTTGCAGATCTGGTTTGCAGATCACCTAAGAAGAAAGTGAAAGGTCTTCCTTATATCTACAAAATGGAGCACTATTTCAAATATGACAGTCACCTCTCTCCCCCACCGGTTCATTCAGTCTTACGTGATACATTCTACTCCACTGAATCTAGGGTTTGCAATCTCACAGACCCAGCTGTTGCTTTTCCAAAGAGCCCTGGAACTCCTAACTCAATCCACTAGCATATTCTTAGAGTTTTCCTAGTGGTGCCACCAGAAGCCTGTGCCCAAGAGTAAATGCTTGGAATGTTGCTTTTCTAAAACAGTGGTTAATGATAGGACTTTTGGCTTATGGCTTATTGCAGAGCTGTTAAAAAGCATCAGAGCAAAACAAAACCTATGGATGACAAAAGCTTAAAAACTGCTGGCTAACTTATTATTGGTGATTTTCAGAAGTAAATGATCTGATGAGAATTTATGACAAGAATAATGCAACAGACAAGGAAATTCATTTGCTCTTGTAGTATGCAAAACAAGAAGTCAACGCAAACACCCCCAAAAATCTAGATAATGTCTAAGAATGTAATAAAGCTAATTTCAAAGAAGATAAGGAACATTGCATGAACCAATAAAAGTGAACAAACATAATTTTACAGAGGAAAAAAAATCTCAAGATGCATAAAAATCCTAAGACAGGGCTGGGGATTTAGCTGTGTTTCTGCTGCCTGCTTCGCAACCACAAGGTCCTGAGTTCAATCCCCAGCACAAAAAAAAAAAAAAAAAAAAAAAAAAAAAAAAAAAATCCTAAGACATAATTTACTTAATTATACTAAGAATATCAACTAAAGAGATTCAATAGGTTTGGAGAAAGTCCCTGAACATCTGTATTTTAATAAAACTCTGTAGGAAAGTCTGCTGATATACACTTGCAGGTGAAAACCAAGAGCTTAGAAGATACTAGACTCAAATTGTGGAAGTAAATCTGTGGCCCAGGTAACATTTTAAAGTCATACTGAAATAGTGCCTGGACCACTGTAGTTGTCATTGGATAAAAGCACCACTAGGATGCTGATGAACAGAAACACTGGACAAAGAGAGCATTGAGATATCTACAGAATCTTTTGTACAACATATTCTGAAATAAGAGTAACATCTTATCTATGTAAGTTTCACGGAGAGAAAGCTGAGCATCTCCTCTGATCTGACAACTATACCCATGAGATTGATCAGTAACATATCAAATAAACCTAAATATATCTAGCACTTCCTTTTTTTAAAAAAAATAGTGAAATAATCAACCTTTGCAATTTTCTAGGAGCCCTCTTTCTAAAAGTACTATGAATAAACTCTCAAAATTGAGTCAGCTTTAGCAAAATTTAAATACTTAATTGCTTCTTTTCAGACTCATTATTTGCACCTTCCACAAACCAAGGCAAATCAAATTCCCAATCCACAAATCTACAAATTTATCTATTAGATTTTGTCTTTCACTGTCCTCCATGTTATTCTGGCACAGTCCATCATTTTACTTTACAATAAAACTGCTCTTTTTTTCTCCTTAAACAAATTTGTACCTCTGCTACTATTCTTCTAGTAGAATCTAATTCATGACTATCAATTATATCATTTAACCAAAATAGCTCATCTCTCAGATAAAATTGAGAGGGTGAAGAATGAATCATTATAAACAATCTAACCCACACCAACATTCTAAAAGAACTCAGAAATACTGTAAACATAACACAGCTCTCTACAGTCACATGTCACTGGAGCATCTTAAAGTATGAAGTCAGACACTGTATTCAACATCTCTGTGACGTACAACAGACCTGGATTGGAATCTTTTCACCAGTGTGTGCTTTAAGTAGTTAATTTTTTCAGAGCCACAGTTTCCTCATCGTAAAAGGCACAGATTTTGAGGATAAAAACGGTAGCATACATAAACATGCATCACCTCTCCTGGCTGGTGTAAAGTATTTGATTAGTGTTTTCCTCCTTCCTCCCTGATGAGCATGAATTTGGATGCACTCAAGCACCAAACAATATTTAGTTCTGCAGTGGGTGCATTGTGCTGACCTCTGAGGCCTGCAGAGACAATGAAGACATGGTCTCACCTTCTTGGAACTAAGAGTAGAATTCAAAAGGGGTATGTACCCAAAAATCAGCAGTTCTATTTTTAAATTTTACTTTCTCTCTCTCTTTTTTTTTTTTTTTTTTAGTGTGTGTGTGATGCTGAGGGTCAAACCCAAAGACTCATGCATGCTAGGCAAGTGTACCACTGAGCTACATTCCCAGCCCGAGTCGGCAGTTTTTAAAAGCACTGCTGTATGTGCTGAGTGCCAAAGCATTGTGTTTCAAATGCACCATGTGTTTTAGAGGTCAGGGGAGTTGATTTTGAAGAAAGCTGCTACTTTAAGCATGTCTAACACATAAGGTGTTAGTGACTATCAGCATGAATTGCTCGGAATACAGGAAGTACCCAATAAATGATGTCTCTTGCTATCATTATTACTGATGATATCATTACAGATGGATGGTAATCCAATTCATTTTTCCTGTGATAAACAAAATATATGCTGGGGTAGAAATGAACCATATAAAGAGTTCTAGGCTGAAATAAAATTAGAAATGAAGTCTGTCAAATTTACTGCTTAAGGAGGGTATTTGAACAGAAATGAGGACCGCAGAGTAATAAGCCAATCGACCCGATTGGCCCTGGGCCCTAGACACTTCAGCTGAGAAAACCGGAATAATAGTAATATATTTCATAAGGTTATTTTGAGATTTCAGTGAAGTACTACATGTAATTAGTATTTAGATTGATGCTAGGCTTATCCTGAGCAGTGAGTAAGCAGTAATTATTGGCTATTATTCTCTTCACTCTTCCTACTGTTCTGTGCCAAGCATTGTTAATTTGTGATTTTTATAGAACTGCAAGGTGTTATTTTCTCCATGGAACACATGGAGGCATTGAGAAGTTACACAGTCTGTCCAGTATTGTGTAACTGGTAAATAACTGAACTGGGGTTGGATCCAGTTTAAGTTTACTTCTGGTTCCATGTTCTTCCCATTGTTCTTAAGTGTGGCGTGGTAAAAGGTCACATAGCCTTTATTTGGCCTTAGACAAATCACTTAATCTCCAGCACTTAAGGCTGCATTTCCTTAACTACAAAGGTAATAATCTTGTACCAGTAGTACAGGGCTTGGGTGAAATTAATTGAGAAACTATGTAAAACACTTGCCCAGTACCCAGCATACTTGGAATTTGCTGGGTGCTCGTGAATTTCTGTGAAGGAGGAACTCCTTCTTACCGGAGGCAGGGTAGCTTTTGACTTGGTGGATGTGGCAGTCTTTGTCTCTGCACTGATAACACGTGGCTCCAGCCAGCAGGAGCTTAGCGTGCCAGAAACTTTCCTAGAGAGGAGGCTGGGAGACAGGGGCCCTAGGTTTGTTGAGGCAGCTCCAGTACAGTCCAAAGCTATGGAGTTTCCAACCATCACCTGCTCCTCCTTCTGTCAGATCCTCCATTAGGACAGGTGTGAACAGTTTGCTCATGACATTTCTGAGCCACCAAATGCCCAGAAGTTCCCTAGTCCTGGGCCTGGCTGGTTCCCTGCCTTCTGTGCCAGTGTCTGTGTGGGCATGTCTGGGGACAGCTGGCAACATGGGCATCTTTCCAAAGAAATGGCTGGCTGCTGCTTCTTGGGTTGGGCCCATTTCCTGAGGCCCTGTGAGGAGGAACAGCTCAAGACGTAGAGAAGGGAAGCTTGTGAGAGGAGGGACCAGGGTGACACAGGAGCTGGATGAGCAGGAATGGGCGTGGAGGGGGGTGATGGATTGGACAGGCAGGAGGAGCAGGAGCTGTGAACTCCCACGTTGTCTGTTTTCCCCACGCCCTAATCTTTCCAAGGAGTCTGGACAAGGCCAGGCTGGGTTGATGGCTGCAATTCAAATGAAAGGTTCTGCCCTGTGGAATTAGCTAGGAGGACACAGGAGAAAGACTTGCAAATTCATAGAGAGCTGCATGTGCCAGGTACTTTGACATCTGTTGCACCTCGTTGACTCATAACAATCTTGTGCCACAGCTTA